ACACTAGGTCACATCCCAACCTCCAAATGTGTCCTTAAGATCTACACCACTGAAACACAAAGTCATATCCTGACCACCAGAGGTGTCCCTTAGACTTACATCACTGAAACACAAGGTCACATCCTGACCACCAGAGGTGTCCTCTAGACTTACATCACTGAAACACAAGGTCACATCCTGACCACCAGAGGTGTCCTCTAGACCTATGTCACTACGACACTAGGTCACATCCCAACCTCCAAATGTGTCCTTAAGACCTACACCACTGAAACACAAAGTCATATCCTGACCACTAGAAGTGTCCTCTAGACTTACACCACTGAAACACAAAGTCATATCCTGACCACCAGAGGTGTCCTCTAGACTTACACCACTGAAACACAAGGTCACATCCTGACCACCAGAGGTGTCCTCTAGACCTACACCACTGAAACACAAGGTCACATTATCCTGGCCAGCTGTGTTCCAGTGGTATATGTCTTGAGGGCTCCTCTGTGACCTTTGATGACCTATATATTGACCTTTGACATACCTTTACAGTGTAATGAGATGTGCAAATGACAAGTATACTTTACTGATTGAAATGTAGGACTTACTTGACCATTTTTGACCTTTAAATTGACCTTTTCCCAAGGCATGCCTGACTTGAAGTTCTTTGATTTTTTTTGCAGCTCAGGTGAAAAAGTAATTTTCCATGTCAGTTATATAGCTTTAGAATTTCATATTTACATACATTTAGATGGCAGATAAATTACATGTAATGTAAGATATTGCAATCTGTTTCTCTCCTTGTGTATTTATATCCCTCTACACATTCTTGGCTGAACATCTGAATGTGGTATTGTTTCATTAAACATAACAGGAAAATCTCAAATGCCAATGCTGTTTATATAAAGTGTTTTGTGTAAATCTGTTCTCTTAGTCATCTGACTAACTACAGGATGAAGGGTTAAGAATTGTTATGGCTGTTACCACACACATTATATCATAGCTGTGTCAGTTTGTGTTGTGGTCAGTAAAGACAGATGTATTAGTGTGAGTGTCGGTCAGTAAAGACAGATGTATTAGTGTGAGTGTCGGTCAGTATAGACAGATGTATTGGTGTGAGTGGTGGTCAGTATAGACAGATGTATTAGTGTGAGTGTCGGTCAGTATAGACAGATGTATTGGTGTGAGTGGTGGTCAGTATAGACAGATGTATTGGTGTGAGTGGTGGTCAGTATAGACAGATGTATTGGTGTGAGTGGTGGTCAGTATAGACAGATGTATTGGTGTGAGTGGTGGTCAGTATAGACAGATGTATTAGTGTGAGTGTCGGTCAGTATAGACAGATGTATTAGTGTGAGTGTCGGTCAGTATAGACAGATGTATTGGTGTGAGTGGTGGTCAGTATAGACAGATGTATTAGTGTGAGTGTCGGTCAGTATAGACAGATGTATTGGTGTGAGTGGTGGTCAGTATAGACAGATGTATTAGTGTGAGTGGTGGTCAGTATAGACAGATGTATTAGTGTGAGTGGTGGTCCCTATAGACAGATTTTCTGTCCATTCATTCTTCCCTGATTTCTCTGTCCACCCATTCTTCCCTCATTTGTCTGTCCACCCATTCTCCCCTCATTTCTCTGTCCACCGATTCTTCCCTCATTTGTCTGTCCACCAATTCTTCCCTCATTTGTCTGTCCACTCATTCTCCCCTCATTTGTCTGTCCACCCATTCTCCCCTCATTTCTCTGTCCACCGATTCTTCCCTCATTTGTCTGTCCACCCATTCTCCCCTCATTTCTCTGTCCACTGATTCTTCCCTCATTTGTCTGTCCACCGATTCTTCCCTCATTTGTCTGTCCACTCATTCTCCCCTCATTTTTCTGTCCACTCATTCTTCCCTCATTTGTTTGTTACCTACTTCCTCCCTCACTTATCTGCAGATATGTTTCCCCTCATCTTTCTGCCCACATATTCCACCCCTATTTAACACCACCTCATCATTTGCACACCCTCCCCCTCCCACTCCTCCCCACCCCCTTCACAGTGAAACAGTAGACAACACATTTAACCAGAAACTCTATAAATCACTTGAACTTCCTACTGAGTTCCACTGCTGTATCAGAGGAATAATTAGACAGCACTAGAATCCTGGCTGATTGCCTGGTCTTACAGAAGATAGCATCAGCTACTGTTGGGGCTAACAAGGCCTCACTGGGTTGAGGAATACTAGTGGTGACACAAGCATCCCCTTGGAGATGTTCCTGACCAGTGTGATGTTTATTTTCTCCATTATCCACAAAGGCATCTACAGGTGGCTTTATGAATAATAACACTAAAGAGGCATTGTTTCTATACACCTGTTATCTTTCTAGACAAATCATAGGATTACAAAGATATTGTACCTGCGTGTTTGTTTTACAACTTCCACAATGTTGGAATCTCCTTACATTTATCTTATATAATCACAATAACCTCAAATATTAAGAGTAAATTTTTCCATTTATAAAGATAAATCTGTTACATTGTAATACATATCTTTCTCTTGATTTAAAGAAGGATTTTGAAAATATGACAAAGGAAGGAGAAATACAACATGCACTTGTTTATTAGCGGCACAATCTACACAAAAATCAATTGTCAAAGACATTTATGAATGAGATTCTAAACAAAAAAAAATCACCATGGAGAAACTGTTTATCTTTGCATACTACACGTAAACATCCATTGATCATTTTTCTTGGTTGTCATAGATTCCTGTACTGGTGGTATATCATTGAGTGTTGTGAATAGTATTCCTGGACTACAAATTTTTATACTCATCGATCAATACTCTATTTCATAAATTGGTTTTGTATAATATATATTTAGTCTGACAGGCCTTTAAGGATAGGACACCAGCATTTACTACTGTGATAAGTAAGAATATGTGATTCAGGTTATATTTAGAAATACAAAACTTTGGAATTTGGCATTTATTTTGGCCTATGTACATGTAGGTTGTGGTTAGGTGTGTTGTATTATCTTTACTGTGATGTCTGAATTTCCCACCTTGTCTGAAGTGATGTAAGTGTTTCTAACAGTGCTTTTGACTTTGACATTATTGTCAAGGTCATGTGCACTCTGCCTTTGTTTCTAATTGTGTCTATATAATGCCGTAATTTAATTACTAGGTAGGAATTCCTTTCTACTCTCATAACATTTTCTTTTCCTTCCATCTGTCTCATTTTCTAGTCAATATTGCTGTGCCATTTATCTTTTGTCCCATAAATTTCTTCTTTTGGTAAAGCTTTCTAAATATTATGTTGAACCAAATAGACACTTTGTGCATCCTTTGGACTAAGATGTCTATCCGTGCCAAATATGTTACATTAAAAAGGTCTATGAAATCACAAGGCTATGGTGTATTATGTAAAGGTTACTTGTTACAAATTGTTTTTAGGTCCACATGCCATGTCTTATAAGCTGGACACCATGTTAACATTCCATACCAGAAATTGAACATAAATGAACATTTCTTGAGTTACCAAAAAAAAAAAAAAATTTTTTTTTGTCCATCAAACATTCTCCAAAAATTACCTTGGCTTTATAATAAGGTAAACTGTGTGTAAACAAACTTTTATCACTTTGACCCTTTGGACAGAAGTGGCAGGGCCCAATAAGGGCAAATTCTTCAAAAGTCCTTAATTCCTGTTTAGGAATGACCAGATTCTGTCCCAATTTGATCTGAAACATCTTGTGGTGAAGGGGAATCAATTTTGTATAAACATTTGGTCTTTGACCCTGGGATGGGAAGGGCAGTGCTCCATAGAAGAATTAGAGCAGATTTTTTTCATTTTTCTTTTGTAGGAATGCGTGATTTCAGATCCAATTTTATCTGAAGCATTCTTGTGTAATGGAAACTTGTATAAATGGTTTTGCTGACCATCACGGGCAGAGGGGTAGGGGTTATTGGGGAATTGATACAAACCTCCAGAATTCCTTTAGTTTTGATAATCCAATTTCAATCAAACCAAGGGAGTTAAGCAACAGGTGCCTTATGGGCCTCTTTGTGTTAATGAATGACAGTAAGCAAAATCTTCTGCAAACTTTAAGGTATATCATCATGCTTTATCACTGCTATCAGTTGTTGTACTATAAATTTCAACCCATTTTGAAGGTTGGAAATCAAAGATGGATTTGTTAAAACACTTCAGGTAGCAAATAAATAATACTGATCCTTTTGGTCTGCTGCATTTCCTATCAAAGTGATAAGAAACTTGGCATTCAGTTGATGATCAACTAATTAAATCTGCATCGCTAGGAGCTATTGTTTACGAAAAGAATAATCAACCATTAGGGAGCTTACTCTTAATGAAAGCAGTTAAATCCGTAAAATGTGTTGGAAATAGTTTAGCCTCTTGTCTGTACAGAAATATTGTCCTTTTTTTCGGTGCATAATTCGAACAGTAGTCTGAAACAGTAGGAAGCTCATAACAGTTAAAATACCAAGAAACTGACACAATTGATACATGTAAGAGAATGGTACATTCAGGTTTCTAGATAGACAATATATGGCAAAGGTTTAAGTGAAGTGGATCTAAGGAAGAACAGTAAAAATGTACCAAGTACAGTATTGATGATGTAAAAAAAACTGTATCAGAGAGACGTATCATCAAGAGATCATATAATTATTGAAAGTAGGAAGTTGCCTTCAACCAATTATTGATTTTGATTAGCATTCAGCAAAGATAAATTTTTATGAGAAAAATTGCCAATTCATGCCTAATCATTCACTTCACAATAGCATACTTTTATTATAAACATTACAAATGACAAAATTCACTTTTATTATACACATTACAAATGACAAATGAATTTTGAAATGATGTATTTAATGAGAATGATAGTGTACAGACAAGTCAGCTGGGCGATTGAAGCCTTTATACCACAGTAACAAAATACATGTATGAAAATGTTCCCCAATTATACATAGACGATGATACACTACTAATTGATTGTGTTTTTTCTTACTTTCAGTCTGCTCATCATTCTTGGTGTGGTTGTTGGAGCCATCATGAAGTAAGTCGGTAATTATGATATCTGATTTCTTTGTTGTTCCTCCAAAATAAAAGATATCTTTCCACCTTAATTAGTGATTCCTTATACTATATCAGTCTGAAGAGGTTTCAGTCATGGAGCCAAAGGTGGTGGTTGTTGTAGGAGAAGGGGTGGGGGGGGGGTTACATAAATTGTTCTTGCTTGTTAAGCATGTTAACATGTTCATGTGGTACAATGGCACCTGTTTGAGGTCAACTTTTTCATTGTCAATGATCAGGAGACCAAAAGTCATCATATTTGGCTGTAAGGTACCTTATATGAAGCTAAGCAAAGTCTTTGACATTTATTTCAAGATCACAAGTGTCATTTGTTAAAATGATAAAAATAACTTCTTTTAATTATCCAAAAGACATAGAGTCATTATGTTTTGGTTAAAGGTTCTTGGGATGAACAACAGGATCCATCAGTTGCAGACAACCACAATTTTAACTTGCAATGTAACTGTGGTAAAATACTAGCTGCATTATACATCTAGATTAGAAAGAACTTCTCTTTAGCTCAATTAGTAGAGCGTCAGACTTCCTAGCAGAGACACAAGATAAATGACGACCTCTGTTGCATTGGCGTCCATGTAGGGAATGGTGCCTAGCGTTACTTTCACAAGCATCACTTTAACTCCGGAAACTTGAAGACAAGTACTTCCAGGAGGGGGAGTTTGTAACCCTGATAAAAATTCTAGCGGCAATATACTGCTCGGCTAGTGAGAACTTCTTTAAGCTAGATCAGTTGAATGCCAGACTAGTAAACAAGAGATCTTGGGTTTGAACCCTAGCTAGTTTGTTTAAATAGATTTGATAAAGGCCTATTGAATCCTCCTTACATTAAATTCTCTCCTTTATGGTCATGATTGTGTCCTTTTCTTCAATAGCTCTGGATAGCATGTGATGGGCCTTCTCCATGTTGTTCAATGAGGTAATAACCAGTTAATACAAGGAGTAATCTGTAACTACTCTTACTACAAGGAGACACTATCTGAAATTGATCTTGGCTAGTTATACAACATGCAATAAAAGGGTTCATCTTTCTTTGATTTTTTCACAATTTAGATAATTATAATCATGATGTAATCTTGTAATAAAGAAATATTCAGATTGTGGGTATTACACAATCCATAATTCTGAGGTTTTTTACTCTACCCTTTTCTGAGGAAATTCAGAATATACATCAAATGTAATAGCAACGAAGAATATTATGGACTTGTGGAATATTGTAAGACTGATGATCAATGTGTTTCTCAACTGATTGAAACAGATGTATTACAAGCATAACCTGATTGTAGGGACTGTTTTCACTGCCTTGCCTTGATAGTATTGAAATGAAGATAGCCTTTTTGTGGCGTCTGGAAACAATTTGTTAAGATCTAGTACTTCTGTAGAAACCCTTTCCAACAGCTTGAATTATGTATTTCAGGCCATTGACAACAAAAACATCTTTTTTCTTGTCGGAGTAATCTGCTATTGAGATAAAATGTGGAACCGAATTCATTCTTGAGGAAAGAAAACAAAGATATCTTTCATCTGACACTCATTATTGTCTTTTAAAAGGATACTCAAAATGTCACAAATTTGTCTTGTGATTTTTTAATTAGTGGCAAAATAGTCGTTACCTGCCAATCACTTATCACTTAAGCCCTTTAGTTGTTGCACAAATTGCTTGATATGTTGTTAACAAGACTTGGTATATTGATCAAGGAAGACTTTTGTCAGCAACAATAACACAGAGTCAACAACCATAAAGTGCAGGACCTTGTTAACAAGTGTTCTCAATGACCAAGTTTGTCAGGAACAATAACACAGAGTCAACAACCAGAAGGTGCTGGACCTTGTTAACAAGTGTTCTCAATGACCAAGTTTGTAAGGAACAATGACACAGTGTCAACAGCCAAAAGGTGCAGAACCATGTCAACAAGTGTTCTCAATGACCAAGTTTGTCAGGAACAATAACACAGAGTCAACAACCATAAAGTGCAGGACCTTGTTAACAAGTGTTCTCAATGACCAAGTTTGTCAGGAACAATAACACAGAGTCAACAACCAGAAGGTGCTGGACCTTGTTAACAAGTGTTCTCAATGACCAAGTTTGTAAGGAACAATGACACAGTGTCAACAGCCAAAAGGTGCAGAATCATGTCAACAAGTGTTCTCAATGACCAAGTTTGTCAGGAACAATAACACAGAGTCAACAACCAGAAGGTGCTGGACCTTGTTAACAAGTGTTCTCAATGACCAAGTTTGTAAGGAACAATGACACAGTGTCAACAGCCAAAAGGTGCAGAACCATGTCAACAAGTGTTCTCAATGACCAAGTTTGTAAGGAACAATAACACAGAGTCAACAACCAGAAGGTGCAGGACCTTGTTAACAAGTGTTCTCAATGACCAAGTTTGTAAGGAACAATAACACAGAGTCAACAACCAGAAGGTGCAGGACCTTGTTAACAAGTGTTCTCATTGACCAAGTTTGTCAGGAACAATAACACAGAGTCAACAACCAGAAGGTGCAGAACCATGTCAACAAGTGTTCTCAATGACCAAGCTTGTAAGGAACAATGACACAGTGTCAACAGCCAAAAGGTGCAGAACCATGTCAACAAGTGTTCTCAATGACCAAGTTTGTCAGGAACAATAACACAGAGTCAACAACCAGAAGGTGCTGGACCTTGTTTACAAGTGTTCTTTATGACCAAGTTTGTCAGGAACAATAACAGTGTCAACAAGCAAATGGTTGCAGGACCATGTCAACAAGTGCTCCCAATGGCAATCCGTTAATATTATGTCTTATTCTTACGTGACCAAATCATTCTGCCAAACAAGAGTCTAGTAGTTTTTCCAGGAATCCCACTTAAGTATTGACAGTCACGAACAGAGGGCGGGAAAATTTTAACATCTGGCTTAAATGTTTGAGTTATCATCCCTTCCCTTGGGAACAAATGTGCTGACAATGAGAAAAATGCTCCCATTTACAAATGCAGAGTCTTTCCATTGGGAGACAGGATTATTCAGAAGGTGTTGGTGGTGACTGGTCATGCCAGACAAATTTTACACGAATGCAGTAGGGAAATTTTATTGGAAATTATTTATTATCCAATAGCGTAACCAATGGACTTTGTGGTAGTGGTAATATCTTTTTCCGTAGCAACAAAAAAAAAAATCTGAATAAACATTAAATGTGTGGAAATCTGTTTTCAGAAATGGTATATTCCTGTCTTATCAATTATTATGTCAAAACTCATACAAATGTTTTAATATTCATCATAATTCCCATCATTTTATTTCTACTAATTTAGTTTGGAGCTGGCATTTAAATCACACAGCCAAACTATTTATTACTTCATGAAAAGTTGTCATTCAAATTTGATTACACTTCATAAGGAACATTTATGAAAAGTTTGATTAATGAATCACTGGAACTAGTTAATTCTGAGACCCTGGCATCCAAATTACAGTCCAAACAGGAGAAAATGGGATCAGAACAATCTAGTGACAAATGGATCCAAATTTAGACATGGGAAAGGGGTTGGGGAGTCAAATGATAATCATGACAAGATACAGGTCTTTAGATTGCCTTTAAGGTATTATTTTGGTATAATTACTTGTGACTATAGAGTGGTCTTGATAATAAAAATAATTAATTGAACATCATTCAAGAAACTCTATGTTAATGTCACATCAATGTATTCTCTTCTAGTGCCACCATGGAATTTGATGACATGCCACGAATGGGAGCCACACTTTTCTTCCTTTATCTACTGCCACCGTGAGTAATACATTTATATATACTGTATCAAATGTCTATATTGATTGTTTTTATGATGCCATCATATTGGTAGAGGTTGAGGAAGGGGTGCAAGCATATACATGTAGTGTTTCCATGTCATGCTTCAATGCCTGTCTTTAAGTCATGTCACACCCCAAATCTATGTCATCACCCCGGTGAATAAATTATAGCAGTAATTAATGTAAGTTTATGCTTCCGAGTTCATGGTCACTCTAATCTTTAATTTACAACATCTATAAAACATGCAAATGTCAGATATGACTTTTTCTAATGTAATTTTATACTTCAGGATTCAGGATTCAGAGTTCAAGGTCACTCTAATCTTTAATTTACAACATCTATAAAACATGCAAATGTCAGATATGACTTTTTCTAATGTAATTTTATACTTCAGGATTCAGGATTCAGAGTTCAAGGTCACTCTAATCTTTAATTTACAACATCTATAAAACATGCAAATGTCAGATATGACTTTTTCTAATGTAATTTTATACTTCAGGATTCAGGATTCAGAGTTCAAGGTCACTCTAATCTTTAATTTACAACATCTATAAAACATGCAAATGTCAGATATGACTTTTTCTAATGTAATTTTATACTTCAGGATTCAGGATTCAGAGTTCAAGGTCACTCTAATCTTTAATTTACAACATCTATAAAACATGCAAATGTCAGATATGACTTTTTCTAATGTAATTTTATACTTCAGGATTCAGGATTCAGAGTTCAAGGTCACTCTAATCTTTAATTTACAACATCTATAAAACATGCAAATGTCAGATATGACTTTTTCTTATGTAATTTTATACTTCAGGATTCAGGATTCAGAGTTCAATGTCACTATATACTTTCGATTTATAAAAATTGTAAAAATAAATAAGAAAAGTCTGTGTATATATTACTCTCGTTAGCCTAAGTTGAAGCATGTGAGGGGTCTATCTGTGTGAGGAAACAAGAGCAACTGTGGAAATCCTCCACCTGGATTCATTTTATCTTAACACTTTTGAAAACAATGTTACAATTAAATCCTAGTACGTTTACTAATACATCGAGGTATATTTCAGGGCTGTCTACTTTGTTATCATTATTTATTTATTTTTACAACAACATTTAATTATGACATTAAGAATGACAACAATATTTGGGCATTTTATTTGCATACCTTTCATTTCAAAATTTTCAAATGTCCCAGCTCCTGCTTAATGACACCAAATTATTTTGTGGACTGCACTGACAAATCCTTTCCAACTTGACAGCCCCTGTCATAATATTGTGGCCAGATTTAGAATTCACAGAAATGTCTATCTGATCAAACACATTCTTTGTGAGGTCATGACATCTTGAAAGGGTTTAGGGTGTATGTTAAGGATCATGGGTAAAAATGTTCTTTGGATCTGTTTTGAACTTTGTCATCTAGTAAGTATAATTTTGACATATGCTGTTTGTAAGTGAATTTTTTTCAAATTCCTAGGCATAAGGACCAGCATAACATCAGTACATTGTTGAAATGTTGATTCACTGTTTCTCTATATATTGTTTATTTTCCTTTTTTGTTATCAAATGTTGCTAATAATTGAAAGAATAACATGGTTTTATTTAACACATTCAAACGTCCAGTTGATATGTTTACAAATCTTTTAAATATTTTACATTTTATTGGAGTCATTCATCAGTGATATTTTTTTCTTTGCATGGGATCTTGCTTCACGAAACAGGAGATCGTTCACCCTTTTAAGGATTTTTTTTTTTTTTTTTTTTAAAAACTGGAGATCAATGATCGTTTTAAGAGATCTTGCTCTGGAGTACAGGAGATCATTAATCTTTTCTCTGCAATAAGGAAAATTAATGATCAATTCAAGGTTTTGTTTTTTTCTGAATAGGAAGGCTTTAATGACTGGAATTTAAAAGATGCTAGACTCTTTGTCATCATGCTGGCGTATTTGAAATTTAGATATAAATTACATTGCATCAACTTCATGTGTGTTTGTTAATCAAGTTTATTTCTTTGATATCATATTTTCGAGCAAGTGTAATCTCAAGTTTTGTTTGACCTAAACTAAGTTAATGAATTACACTTTTGTCTTTGACAGGATCATCTTGGAGTCTGCATACAGTCTCCATGACAGGACATTCTTTGAAAATGTTGGCACTATTATAATCTATGCAGTCATTGTAAGTATTTATTGGTTTATTGACAAGTGATAAAATTTATTAAATGACAAATAAATGGTTTTTAGCTCGCTTTACCTGAAGGGCTGGCATGGTGTTTGTCTACCATTGTGATTCTGTCCTCAAATGTCTGTTCAACATTCAACTTTTTTCTTCAAACAACTGATTCTCAAAGACAAAGAGGCCAATTAGCATCATGATATTTGGCTGATAAGTTTCTTGAATGAAGTTTCAATCACTTCTGTGTTTGGTCAATGTGTTTGAATCACCTGTGTGTTTGGAATGTCTGTGTGTTTGAATCACCTGTGTGTTTGGAATGTCTGTGTGTTTGTATCACCTGTGTGTTTGGAATGTCTGTGTGTTTGTATCACCTGTGTGTTTGGTATGTCTGTGTGTTTGTATCACCTGTGTGTTTGGAATGTCTGTGTGTTTGTATCACCTGTGTGTTTGGAATGTCTGTGTGTTTGTATCACCTGTGTGTTTGGAATGTCTGTGTGTTTGTATCACCTGTGTGTTTGTATCACCTGTGTGTTTGGAATGACTGTGTGTTTGTATCACCTGTGTGTTTGGAATGTCTGTGTGTTTGTATCACCTGTGTGTTTGGAATGACTGTGTGTTTGTATCACCTGTGTGTTTGGAATGTCTGTGTGTTTGTATCACCTGTGTGTTTGGAATGTCTGTGTGTTTGTATCACCTGTGTGTTTGGAATGTCTGTGTGTTTGTATCACCTGTGTGTTTGGAATGTCTGTGTGTTTGTATCACCTGTGTGTTTGGAATGACTGTGTGTTTGTATCACCTGTGTGTTTGGAATGTCTGTGTGTTTGTATCACCTGTGTGTTTGGAATGTCTGTGTGTTTGTATCACCTGTGTGTTTGGAATGTCTGTGTGTTTGTATCACCTGTGTGTTTGGAATGTCTGTGTTTGTATCACCTGTGTGTTTGGAATGTCTGTGTGTTTGTATCCACTGTGTGTTTGTATCACCTGTGTGTTTGGAATGTCTGTGTGTTTGTATCACCTGTGTGTTTGGAATGTCTGTGTGTTTGTATCACCTGTGTGTTTGGAATGTCTGTGTGTTTGTATCACCTGTGTGTTTGGAATGTCTGTGTGTTTGTATCACCTGTGTGTTTCTGTGTGTTTGTAATGTGTGTTTGGAATGTCTGTGTGTTTGTATCACCTGTGTGTTTGGAATGTCTGTGTGTTTGTATCACCTGTGTGTTTGGAATGTCTGTGTGTTTGTATCACCTGTGTGTTTGGAATGTCTGTGTGTTTGTATCACCTGTGTGTTTGGAATGTCTGTGTGTTTGTATCACCTGTGTGTTTGGAATGTCTGTGTGTTTGTATCACCTGTGTGTTTGGAATGTCTGTGTGTTTGTATCACCTGTGTGTTTGGAATGTCTGTGTGTTTGTATCACCTGTGTGTTTGGAATGTCTGTGTGTTTGTATCACCTGTGTGTTTGGTGTGTTTGTAATGTGTGTGTGTGTTGTTTGTATCACCTGTGTGTGTTCTGTGTGTTTGTGTGTTTGGAATGTGTGTTTGGAATGTCTGTGTGTTTGTATCACCTGTGTGTTTGGAATGTCTGTGTGTTTGTATCACCTGTGTGTTTGGAATGTCTGTGTGTTTGTATCACCTGTGTGTTTGGAATGTCTGTGTGTTTGTATCACCTGTGTGTTTGGAATGTCTGTGTGTTGTGTTTGGAATGTCTGTGTGTTTGTATCACCTGTGTGTTTGGAATGTCTGTGTGTTTGTATCACCTGTGTGTTTGGAATGTCTGTGTGTTTGTATCACCTGTGTGTTTGGAATGTCTGTGTGTTTGTATCACCTGTGTGTTTGGAATGTCTGTGTGTTTGTATCACCTGTGTGTTTGGAATGTCTGTGTGTTTGTATCACCTGTGTGTTTGTGTGTGTTTGTATCACCTGTGTGTTTGGAATGTCTGTGTGTTTGTATCACCTGTGTGTTTGGTGTGTTTGGAATGTCTGTGTGTTTGTATCACCTGTGTGTTTGGAATGTCTGTGTGTTTGTATCACCTGTGTGTTTGGAATGTCTGTGTTTGTATCACCTGTGTGTTTGGAATGTCTGTGTGTTTGTATCACCTGTGTGTTTGGAATGTCTGTGTGTTTGTATCACCTGTGTGTTTGGAATGTCTGTGTGTTTGTATCACCTGTGTGTTTGGAATGTCTGTGTGTTTGTATCACCTGTGTGTTTGGAATGTCTGTGTGTTTGTATCACCTGTGTGTTTGGAATGTCTGTGTGTTTGTATCACCTGTGTGTTTGTGTTTGTAATGTGTGTGTGTTTGTGTGTTTGTATCACCTGTGTGTTTGGAATGACTTTGTGTTTGTATCACCTGTGTGTTTGGAATGTCTGTGTGTTTGTATCACCTGTGTGTTTGTATCACCTGTGTGTTTGGTATGTCTGTGTGTTTGTATCACCTGTGTGTTTGGAATGTCTGTGTGTTTGTATCACCTGTGTGTTTGGAATGTCTGTGTGTTTGTATCACCTGTGTGTTTGGAATGTCTGTGTGTTTGTATCACCTGTGTGTTTGGAATGTCTGTGTGTTTGTATCACCTGTGTGTTTGGAATGTCTGTGTGTTTGTATCACCTGTGTGTTTGGAATGTCTGTGTGTTTGTATCACCTGTGTGTTTGTGTTTGTATCATGTGTGTGTGTTGTGTTTGTATCACCTGTGTGTTTGGAATGTCTGTGTGTTTGTATCACCTGTGTGTTTGGAATGTCTGTGTGTTTGTATCACCTGTGTGTTTGGAATGTCTGTGTGTTTGTATCACCTGTGTGTTTGGAATGTCTGTGTGTTTGTATCACCTGTGTGTTTGGAATGTCTGTGTGTTTGTATCACCTGTGTGTTTGGAATGTGTGTGTGTGTTTGTATCACCTGTGTGTTTGGAATGTCTGTGTGTTTGTATCACCTGTGTGTTTGGAATGTCTGTGTGTTTGTATCACCTGTGTGTTTGGAATGTCTGTGTGTTTGTATCACCTGTGTGTTTGGAATGTCTGTGTGTTTGTATCACCTGTGTGTTTGGAATGTCTGTGTGTTTGTATCACCTGTGTGTTTGGAATGTCTGTGTGTTTGTATCACCTGTGTGTTTGGAATGTCTGTGTGTTTGTATCACCTGTGTGTTTGGAATGTCTGTGTGTTTGTATCACCTGTGTGTTTGGAATGTCTGTGTGTTTGTATCACCTGTGTGTTTGGAATGTCTGTGTGTTTGTATCACCTGTGTGTTTGGAATGTCTGTGTGTTTGTATCACCTGTGTGTTTGGAATGTCTGTGTGTTTGTATCACCTGTGTGTTTGGAATGTCTGTGTGTTTGTATCACCTGTGTGTTTGGAATGTCTGTGTGTTTGTATCACCTGTGTGTTTGGAATGTCTGTGTGTTTGTATCACCTGTGTGTTTGGAATGTCTGTGTGTTTGTATCACCTGTGTGTTTGGAATGTCTGTGTGTTTGTATCACCTGTGTGTTTGGAATGTCTGTGTGTTTGTATCACCTGTGTGTTTGGACTGTCTGTGTGTTTGTATCACCTGTGTGTTTGGAATGTCTGTGTGTTTGTATCACCTGTGTGTTTGGAATGTCTGTGTGTTTGTGTGTTTGGAATGTCTGTGTGTTGTATCACCTGTGTGTTTGTATCACCTGTGTGTTTGGAATGTCTGTGTGTTTGTATCACCTGTGTGTTTGGAATGTCTGTGTGTTTGTATCACCTGTGTGTTTATATCACCTGTGTGCTTGGAATGACTGTGTTTTTGTATCACCTGTGTGTTTGGAATGACTGTGTGTTTGTATCACCTGTGTGTTTGGAATGTCTGTGTGTTTGTATCACCTGTGTGTTTGTATCACCTTTGTGTTTGGAATGACTGTGTGTTTGTATCACCTGTGTGTTTGGAATGACTGTGTGTTTGTATCACCTGTGTGTTTGTATCACCTGTGTGTTTGGAATGACTGTGTGTTTGTATCACCTGTGTGTTTGGAATGACTGTGTGTTTGTATCACCTGTGTGTTTGGAATGTGTGTTTGTATCACCTGTGTGTTTGGAATGACTGTGTGTTTGTATCACCTGTGTGTTTGGAATGACTGTGTGTTTGTATCACCTGTGTGTTTGGAATGACTGTGTGTTTGTATCACCTGTGTGTTTGGAATGACTGTGTGTTTGTATCACCTGTGTGTTTGGAAAGTCTGTGTGTTTGTAACACCTGTGTGTTTGGTGTGTTTGGAAACTGTGTGTTTGTATCACCTGTGTGTTTGGAATGACTGTGTGTTTGTATCACCTGTGTGTTTGTATCACCTGTGTGTTTGGAATGACTGTGTGTTTGTATCACCTGTGTGTTTGGAATGACTGTGTGTTTGTATCACCTGTGTGTTTGGAATGACTGTGTGTTTGTATCACCTGTGTGTTTGTATCACCTGTGTGTTTGGAATGACTGTGTGTTTGTATCACCTGTGTGTTTGTATCACCTGTGTGTTTGTATCACCTGTGTGTTTGGAATGTCTGTGTTTGAATCTTCTATGAGTTGTAATGATTCATGTGATTTAAAGTCACTACCATATTTCTGACATCAGAACAGAGCTCTATGGTAAGTGTTGTTGGATGCAATATCTCACTGTAAGTAAGGTGTAAAGATCTGATACAATGTTCCCTTTACGTTTGTAAGAACACCAAGCATTGAAATATTGCCAGCTTACAGACAAATCGTGAGAATTGGATTCTACACTTCCATAGAAAAGACGAAAGTGTTTGTATGTCTGTACTACATATATAGCTGTATATGATGTGCATGCTAAAAAGCTGATTTTTTCTATCAAGTTTTCTTTCTATCTTGTAATGAATAGCTTACTACAAACTTTGTCATCAGTATGAGAATCTTTATTAGCCAATTTGTTTGATGTAATTTGGGATTGGTTGAGGTATGCTATTCAAGTAATGGTTTTGTTCTACTTCAGCAATGAATGTATCAGCACAAGGTTTTATGAACTCGTAAGCCTGGTATCTCTGACAGTAAATAAAACACAGTAACTCCAGTCATTCGTACTGATTTGAATGAAATGATTGAGTTGAAACTTGTGTTAATAAAACCTGTGTGAATTTGTGTAGGTGGTTTCCTATAAAGTTGTGTTAAGAGGACTTCGGTAGATATTGAGTAGGTTAACTATGAGAGAAGTCTTTTTCTCAGATGCACTTTCTTTTAATCTTGTTTGTTTTGTGTAGAGTAGAAAATGTTATTGCAATTTATTTTCAAAAAAATGGAATTAAACTTAAGTTTTGAAAATGATTATTTTACTGTAATGACTATGTTAAGACAAGCATGCTACTGAAGTAATTTTGAAAATTTTTGGCCGGGTTGTGTATAGTGCAAATCCCGGTTATAGTATGGTGAATGTCGGGCGGGCGGGGAAAAGGTGTACCAGTTTTGTAGAATTAACTCCTCCTAGAGTTTTTGATGTAGAAACTTGAAACTTTGTAGGATGTTTATATATATGTTGAAGATGTGGCCCTTGTATTATGGATTTATTCCGGACATTTTTCTAGATTTTCCCGGCTTTGGAACTTAGTCATTTTCTGAAACTTTTCTTGTTATCACAGTTTCTCAGAAACTACTACAAACTGCACCAATTCATAAAATTCAACCAAACTTTCTCTCTTATAACAAATACTCTATTCATTTTCAACAAATGAAACATCCTTAACTGTCTTATAAATACCCATATAACATTGCACTCATCCCGCAACCCGGCCAATTGTGGCTTTGCCCCATTTTACATTTTGTTTATATATCGGAGGGCAAACTTCATAGTGGCCTTATTTCCAAGGTAAAGGTGATCAGGAAATCCCATTAACTAAATTAAAAATGTTAGGAGAAAGTCCTTATCTGTTTTGGCTGTGAGCGAGACGCTAATCTTCTCTTGGTGAAACATTATGACTGTGTGGCGTGACAGCTAGCCTATGTAGGAGATATCTAACACTGTATTAATCCGTTATCATACCTAAAGCTCTCCCAGACTAATCCCTTAACACAGACAAACCAGTCTCAACCCTGCATTCATTTCACCACAACATAGACATGATAATGAGTATTTCATACATTTTTTTTTTATCAATGGATATTGAATGGTGTATACTGAATTACAAGTCTGTGTTCTGTTGACTTCATGCAGAATTGTATGTGTTGGGTTTTACAATCTACCAATGCATTTCAATTAGACTAAGAAGTTGAAATAGGTTCACACATGTATATTTAATGGCTTCAAAAAGTCACCAAATACCATATGATAGGTAGACGTTTATGGTAATGTGTCATGCTGGGATGGTGCTGTTAAGTTGATCTAGGTAGATCACCTTGCCTACATCCAGACTTATTATTAAAGTATTCAGGGATAATTCATAGCAAACTTTAACTTAAAATGATTTTTTCAGATGAGAAAATCTAACAAAACTATTGTAGCCCTTTTAGCTAACTATTGAGCAAAATCCATCAAACTTTTCTGATAATTTTCATTGGTTACAATTTTGTTTATGTGTCCCATAGCTTATAAAACCAATCTCAGCATATGTTTTTTTTTTATCAAATTCTCTTCAAATTAGGTAATTAGTGTGAGAATGACTTGAAAATTTGCACCTCCCTTTTTCATGCAGTTTTCTATACCTCTACAATTATAGACCTTGAGTTTTGCTCTTTCAGGACGGTAAATGAAAGATTTTAAAATCTACTCCTTCCTCAGTCTCAACAGTTAGGTTTAATTCACAATACAGTCAAAAGTCAACGGGACCAAATGAAATATTTGACTTATCCAATGGTTGACTTAGCCATGTTCCTGTGAACAGAAACATTTTGAATCATAGATTGACCATATATTCATTTATACGTGTCTCATAGCATGGCCTGATAGTAATGAACAAGTTATAAATAAATAAAAATATTTTGTAATGTTATACACTAAAATTGTTTTGTTTAGATAAGCATTTATAAGTACAAATATGAAACAAAAAAGGTAATGTGAAACACTTGTCATTGAATTGTAGCACATGTATGGATACACACCCACTTTGATGCACATAACTTAGTGAAATTGAAACCCAAAGTAAACATTGTACTCTTATTTATATTCTTAAGAGTAACATGTTCTGTCAACAATGTTTTAAAGATAAAACTCAATAAATATGTACTCATGAACATTCTACATTGATATAACATGTAGCACTGAGATGAATTATGAAAAGGTGAAAGCTGTGGCAACTACGTATATAAAAAAATAAGCAAAACACTGTAGATTCGCTGTTAACAGACTACAGTATTTTTGTTTTAAGTTTAGTTGCCTGATTCTTAAAAAGAATTCTTTAAATTTAAAGTTTTTCATGTGAAACCAATTTTCATGATGTGATACTTACCATATCTTAATGGAATCCCACCCTATCCTCCACTTTTCCTTCTCTGCCTGGATGCCCCTCAATTTGGCTCCTCTCACTCTTTGTTTCTGCTGTGATGGCTTATGGGACTGTAGAGAGGGCGGGATTTTTGAATCTTTTGTTTTTGGGATAGAAAGATTGGTGTAGGTATCATATATGCATACTAAAGTTATGGTAATTATTACTGAAATGAAATCTAATTTTCACCTGTGCACCTGTGTAAACACAGGGATTAATGTTTGATCGAAAATTATAATAGGCTAGTTAGCGCAGATACCTCTGACCAATCACACTCCATCATTCAAACCAAAGCCAGGAAATTTTCATGGCGAGACAAAGTGCTGCCTGAACATTCGACACAAAAAAGGAAATTTAGGAAAAATTTAGAGGGGATGGAACACAAAATATATTTGACACACATGCAGTATTTGACTCAAACAGTGTATTTGATTCAAGCATGTTCAACATTAAAAGTTATTTTTTTATGCTCCCAGATCAAAATATCGGGGCCATATTGTTTTTGTGCTCTCTGTTTGCTTGTCTGTCTGTTATCAACTTCAACCTTGCCAAAAACTATGCACTGCAAGAGGTATGGCTTTCTTATTTGGCACCTTTCTGGTAGTACCAAAATTTTTCACCATGTGACCTTGACAGTGATCTTTGACTTACATTTGAAAATGTAAATAAAAATTCATAATGAAGATATATGTGTTTCACAAAGTATGCATGCAATTAGCACATGCCTTACACAGCACAGTTTTACTGTTCCACTTCAGAATTTTGTTGCAACCATGGGCATAGTGTTTCTTAAACACATCTTGTTTCGTATAGCTAGGACCTCATCTAAGACCTAATCTTGCTGCCAGGGATTATCAATCATCCTTAGAGGTCCCTGCAAACTTGGATTAAATATGGTAGGATATCTTAAGGAAACAAACTTTATCTAGTTAATGTTTTAAATACTACCCCTCTAGTATAGGTAAAGGGATTTATAGATACTATGACATAGAAGGGAATTCAAGGGAATTTAATATTTGGTATATGAAAGGTGTCCCATATCTGAGGACAGAGGGACCAAAGCCAACATGAGATGGAATGGAAGAACTGAAATTAAAAAGACAGAAATTTGGAATAGATAATTTCAGATGTTCAACTTTGTTAATAAAGAATTTGTTGTGTTGTCATCTCAGGCTTAACAAGGGACATTTCTCAGAGGAGAATATATCCCTGTTTCTTTGTAGATAATTGTTGGTATAGAAACTACATATACAGTTAAAAGATGGGAGAGCAATTCTATTAAGCTCTACTACTGATGGTTTTTTAATTCTACAAATACTTCACGCACATATTGGGAAATCTGTGATTATGGGTTTGTTGTCCTTGGTGCATGCAGTCAATCTTCAATGGTAAAATCTTCAATGATATTAGCCAACATTGGGGAAAATTAACAAAATTAAAACTCTAATTAAATAGCAGGCACAAGTGGTTTTGGAAAAGACAACATTGAATCAAATCAATCACGCTGTCACTAAACTAGAAAACAGATTATGTTCTGTTGTCCTTTCTGAATAATACAACCTTGCCAGTCTGACAGATCCATCGCTCATGTGTTGATTCCATCTCCATCAAAACATACCTAGCAGGTACTATCTGCAGAACAACAATTAGCTATTGAAAGTGTTTTGTGCATGCAATAAATCTGTAGCTGCCTGTTAAGCTGAGGGCTGGTGGTGATACACTAAGATTCAAAGAATTTCAAATTACATGTACCTGAATGTATAACACAATTATAGGAGTCAGACCTTAATAGTAGATGCCCATCAAATTATTAGGCTTTATAGCATTGTTTTATGCAAGTTTTACACCTCAATTTTCTTTTATTTCCAGGGAACAATCTTGAACTGCTTCTTGATAGGTGAGTAGTTTTCATGCTGATGTGAAACTTTGTTTTAGTTGCCTACTGCTGAAACCAGGGGGAGGGGATAGTTTTCTTCTTCATCTATCTGTCTGTTTACATTAATACATACATGCTTGATGGATTCCCATCAAACTTCACACGCTTATATAACATCAAAATATTTTGTATGACTTCATATTTCAGGAATATTGGGTCCTATTGAAGGTCAGCACACAAAAGGCATCAAAATATCATGAAGTTTGAGTCTCAGAATTTTTAGGTCAAGGTCACCATTACTATTTTTTAGAAAATTGTTGTCAGCAAGCTAGCAGCTTAATTCCTTATGAAAATTTGATCAAACCTTACATTCTTACAAATAACTATGATGTTAATTTGAATATCAGGGTTGTTGGGTCAAGGTCAAGCACCCTAGTGGATTGTCATCAAACTTCAAACACTGATGAAGCACTGCATTAATCTGAACAAGTTGGACTTTCACCAAACAATACCATTGTTTAAAATCATTACAGTGTCATGACTTGTAGTCTGGTAATGGATATGAAGTGCTTTAGCAAGACTCAATGTGTTTATTGTATGGGACAAGTTAGTCATTAAAGCCCTAAATAGTGTACATACTAAAGCAAAAGTATTAATCCTGAGGCCTCCAAATTAAGACTGACTCATTAATCTCAAATCATAAGATTAGAATGAATAGTTTTAAATATACCCCGGGGAATTCACAGTGTCCCACAATAGATGATATTTGGTAAATTCTTTCCGGAACTGTCGTGGATACAAAAAGTATATCGAGTCCTCACTAAAAAAGGGTAGAATGAAGGTCAAGAGTGAAGACAACACGAACAGCTCCTTCCCAATTCACCATTTATTCATGCATCAAATTGTTGATGTTTTGGGATATAGAGGGTACCGTGATGGACCCTGAAACATGTCAACAACTTGATGTACAAATAAATCGTGAATTGGGAAGGAGTTGTTCATGTTGTCTTCACTCTTGACCTACAGTTTTAGATATAGTAAACATTATTGTAAAAGTTTGAATGACCTTGACCCACTTGTGAGTTGCAGGGGTCAAATGTGTAAAAAAAATTTAAACATTCCTGATGAGCTAAGAGAATGAGTGTCTAGATACTTGGCTAAATATATGCTTGGTTGTTTAAATGAATGGTCTTGGCTTGGTGTTTGTGATGCATCTTCTATGGCCAAAAAGTCAGCCATTTCAATATAATGATAATGGCCATACAAGCATGGGAAAATGAAGAAATAGTGATAATTTGTTGGCATCAGTTGTCAAGTAAAGAAAAATGTGATGAAGTAACAATTATGTTTCAATCACATCATCATTTCTTTCCTTTTGTATTAGATATTTATGTGCCAGCGGCATGCGAAAATAAAAAAATTCAAAACCATAAATCTTATATGAAGGAAACTTGTGACAGATTAAAAGGTCCTCTGTATTAAAAAATACAAATTAGGATCCATATTCTGCCAAAAAAAAACCTTGTTTATGGCCGAAAGTGATTTATTCAGCTGACATTCATCACTTAACAGATATCTCAAGTCTCTTTTCTTACCGTAGGGGGTGCCAAGAGGGAACTAAAGGCTGAATTGTTTAAAGTAACTGCCTATCTACTGTTCCAACAATTTCCTTTATATGCATGGGCAGATATTTCATACATGAATATTACTCGAAAACAAATTGGTCAGGCAGTTGTAAAATGGGTTCCAATGACCACTACTAACTTTTCCCTTAAACTTTGAACTTAAAATTTGCTGAAATTGTCTTTGATGGCTAAACACATCCAATAGATTTTGTGTAACTTGTTTTTACTGTCCTGTTTCATCACTTTCCTATAGCAATATATTGTTACATAAGTCTGTCAGGATTTGGAATTTGTTGGATTTTCACACAAGATAGGTTTTGTAGATAATTAGATCTAACCAATATTTTTTTCAGGAAAGGTTTGCCTCCAGTGCACCTTACATGGGACAGCTATCTAGTTCCTTGGTTAATTGTTCTGTTACAGGAGTCAGGCCCTGATACCTGTCTCTATCACGATGATTTGCTCACTTTGTCCAGTGTTGCTTTCAACATGAACCCAGCATTTCCTCTATAAGAAATCAATATTGTCACAATCCATTTAACTTATGTCGTGTTCCTCATGTCTGTTAATTAGCATCTATCACATCATTACTTTTTAAGTATTGATTGACTTTTTATAATCCTAGGGGATACTGTTAATCAATTAACCTGTCTGCCTAGTAAGGGGACAAATTAGTCCTGGGTTTTTCAATGAAAGAGATGAACAAGCTGTAAATAAATGAAAAGATTGAGGTGTATTACCTCTTAATGTGTAAGGAATGAAACCTTTCTTTCATTAAAACAAGTCAGCATCACAGAGACATGTAAGACAGAACTGGGACAAGCTCATTTCTACTAAGTACAAAGACAGGAAAAGATCTCTAGTTTCTGACAGAATAAATCCATGACACAACTAATTGAACCATTAAGACACATAAGCATAGGTATACCAGGCAGATACACACTAGAATTTGCAGATCATCATTTTTGATATAAACCAAGGGACATATAGTATTTACTGTGCTTTTAGTCAAACAAAATTTATAGAATCACACAGACTTCAGCCAAACCTTTATAGTAGTTCTGACAACCCTGACATGACTCCTGCTCAAAGAGGAAATCTGCCTAAAAGGTGGTGCAGGGTGTAGCATCATTTTTCCATTAGGAAACCCATTTCCCCTTTAGCAACGAACAAATTTAAATTGTGGTGATGGGTCACAAGCGGTCTCAGGTTTTGTGGTATCAAGTGTGTTCAAATAAATGAACTATCTTCACACACTTTTAAGTCAAAAGGATAAGAAATGTTCATCTTTACATGCCATTGAGCATCATTGATACGAACAGGAAATACCACCAAGTCTGTTTAAATGAATGACCTTGATCCACTTTTAAGGTCAGATAATGTTATAAGTTTGACTAAATTTTTGAAATGTATAAAAAGTGCAAGAATCAAAATCTTTAATTATGTCATTCACTATAGTTACCCCTCTATTAAACCATGCTTGATAGAATATAACTTTTTTTTCCTACCATCAAATCCTTCTTGAACCATTGAAGAGTTTCCTAAGTATTATTTCTAATAATTTCTGTTTAACCTTGTCAAAAAATCTTCTCCAGACTGCAAAAACGACTTTCCAAGATCTATGTTTACAATTATTATGACATTTTTTTTAATATACTTACTTCTGTAGTTAGATAAAATTTGCAGATATGTGTAAGTTTCAAGAATTACTTGCCATTTAAATGTTTTCTGAAACAATTCTCTTACCCATCCCCGTTTCAAAGAATAAATGTCTTTACATCAACCATTTTAATATTCCTTTGAAAGTAAAAAGAGTTGAATTCAGTTTAATAATGAAAGTAATATCAGGCATTGGCAATGCAATAAATAAATGATTAAACTGGGATATCATTAAAGACTTATTGAGATAAATTTTCCCCATAGGAGTTTGTGACCTCCTACTCCATGTTTTGACAATAGATTTTAATTTAATCTATTTCTTATCATAGTTTAGGTTTTGAATTTCATGTAAATCAACACTGAATTCATCACTGAGAAATGTAAACTTAAATTTTCCCCACTGTAATTTCAACTCTGGTAACAAAGTGTCCTCACTATATTTTGTATTCCCGATCCAAATCAGCTGTGTTTTTTCAATGTTTAATTTCGAGCCAGAGATTTTTGCGAAAGCATTTATTTCTACAATTGATTCTTTCAGTGATATTTCTGAACCATCTAATATAAGAAAATGAATTTCTTCGGTATTTCTTAAGAAAAAAGAAAGGTACTTCAGATTTATACACTCATATATATGGTTAAAAAAATGGGAAGAAATATTCGAACTAAATGACTTGAATTGGGAAAAAATTTACAAAATCTGTTTGAGAACATCTAAGAATACCAAAGTGCAATGGTTTCAGTACAGAACTTTGCATTATATATTAACTACTAATTAATTTAAGTGTGATGTAAAAGTTTTAAATATTCATATTGTTCATTTTGTAATTTTGAAAGAGAGACAATTGTTCATATTATGTAAGAATGTCCTTAAGTACAAAAGTTTTTAGAGAGTATTGAAATTATGCTATAGCACTTCTCATTCCATTCTCATTCAAGTTTTATTTTTGGTTTTTCTGTGGCTAATGAGCACAATAGTACTAGAAGCAGACTTTATATCTTAAATATCATCCAATTTCATATATACAGAACCAGATGTCAACACAAAGTGATAAGTCTAAATGCCCTATCAACAACCTGAAGGAATTTTATACCTTTCCAAAATAAATAGCCTATAGAAAAGGAGAGCAGGCAAATTTTGAAAATGATTGAAGAAAATGGGAAAAGGTTTTGGGTTTTGTAGAGGTCCAATTACAAATTATGTAAATGTGTAAATGGAGTGAGATATTGATGTTTTTATCCATTAATCATCAACATGACCCTGAAGTCTTTTTCATTTTTTGTCTGCTGTCATACATTTCTAACCCAGATCTGTGTGTGTGTGTGCAGGCGGGTGTAGTGGTGTGTATGTGTGTGTACGGGTGTGTGTGTGTGGTTGTGTGTGTGAGTGTACATGTGTGTAGAAGGTTGTGTGTATGTGGGTGAGTGTACATGTGTGTAGAATGTTGTGTGTTTGTGGATGAGTGTACATGTGTGTAGAATGTTGTGTGTATGTGGGTGAGTGTACATGTGTGTAGAATGTTGTGTGTATGTGGATGAGTGTACATGTGTGTAGAATGTTGTGTGTATGTGGGTGAGTGTACATGTGTGTAGAAGATTGTGTGTATGTGGGTGAGTGTACATGTGTGTAGAATGTTGTGTGTATGTGGATGAGTGTACATGTGTGGAGAATGTTGTGTGTATGTGGATGAGTGTACATGTGTGTAGAAGGTTGTGTGTATGTGGGTGAGTGTACATGTGTGTAGAAGGTTGTGTGTATGTGGGTGAGTGTACATGTGTGTAGAAGGTTGTGTGTATGTGGGTGAGTGTACATGTGTGTAGAAGGTTGTGTGTATGTGGGTGAGTGTAGGTTGTGTGTATGTGGGTGAGTGTACATGTGTGTAGAAGGTTGTGTGTATGTGGGTGAGTGTACATGTGTGTAGAAGGTTGTGTGTATGTGGATGAGTGTACATGTGTGTAGAATGTTGTGTGTATGTGGGTGAGTGTACATGTGTGTAGAAGGTTGTGTGTATGTGGGTGAGTGTACATGTGTGGGGTATGATATTTGCCTGTGAGATCAGGAGGAGCAAATATGTCCTTGTCATTGAAATACAAAGGCGTCCAGGGCTCTAAACCTGTTCAATATTACATAATTCAATGGAATTGATCTTTGAGGTTGTGTTTGGAGTTTGTTAACATTGTCAAGCTGTCTTGATATACAGGAAACTTTGTGTTCACTGATTGACAAGCTTATATAAGACTGACGAACGAAAACTTTTGATAGTTTGAATCAAATAAATCCAGACTTCTGGAATTTTTCTGATCCTTCCTGCTTACTTTTGTAGTCCTGTACTGTTTACACCACTTCCTATACAATTCATGTCCTGATAAATAGATAAGACTGTTATTTCCATTTTGTACAGGTCCAACTCTCTTTGCACTTGGCAAAATCGGAGCCATGGGTAGCGTGGATATGGAACTTATCCCCTGTCTGGTGTTCAGTGCTATAATAGTAGCTGTTGATCCTGTGGCTGTGAGTATAAACAATATAGAAAAAGAAAGACCTGATAAAATCATTTTTATTTTCAATTTGCAATTTAGTGCAATGGTAGTGAGTGGATATGCATCAAACAATACGTACCAATTTCTGCTGTTCAATGCTTTGCTCATAAATTCTGTTTTTCATTTTTTGTTTTGGTACACAACATCAAATAATGATGTGAAATGCCTCACGAATTCTGTTTCCCAATGTGATACAATGTGATATATAATATTGATCATTCTTGTTACAGGTACTGGCAATATTTCAGGAGATTGGAGTTAACAATGTCCTGTATTTCTTAGTGTTTGGTGAATCCTTACTGAATGGTAAGCATTGATAACTTGTTGATATACCAGCTACCTGTCTGAAGAATTGATTTATGTAAGAAAATAGAATATATTTGCATTAGTCAAAGCAAGTCTAAGTTTGCAAAATTGGTCCCCCCAAATGTTTTGTTTTTGCCACATTTTGCCACACCAAGATTTCACATCACAATAGCTGTATATCAAGAGTTGTCAACCTGTTACAAAATAACACATGCCATGCTAATGTGATTCAAAGCAAATACACCACATTTAAAACTTTTTATTTATTATATATTCCAAGAAAAAATGCATTCCTCCCCTCGCCTCATTGTTGTCATTATCATTCACATCCCACGAGATAAAATACCGACACTCAGTTATATATGATCAAAGAGAAGCACGCTGACATGCCATGTAATTTATTCCCCGACCTAAACACGTGAAGTGCCCATTCTTTCCAATGCATGCTTTTCACACATAGTGATGAGAACTGTTACTTAGCAACAATGGTGCACATAGTAGCAATTCAATTTGACACTCGAACTGCAATACAATAACCAAATCTTATGTGGAATAAATACGCACAGATTGTTTCGAAAGGTCAAAGGTTACACATTACTGCTTAATTCCTATATCTTAGTTCTAAACCCTGTCAACTGCTCAGGACTTAAAGAGGTTCTAATTGTAATTAACCTTTTCAGATCATTTGTCATTTTTAAAGGTTAAGGCCACATACTGTTCACGTGTTGGGATATGTTTGACTTGTGGGTCATCAATTTGATGTTCTGTGTATGTTGTTGCTAATGTGTGAATGAAAAACAAATTGTCCCTGAAAAATGTGTCTTCAGGAGCAAAAAATGTGCTTACTGTTCACATCTATCAAGGAACAAGATGTACAAATAAAAAGTGTAGTTAGAGAAAGTTGTGTATTGTGTCTAACAATGAATAACCTATTGGTATAACTTAGAGGAAAGTGTCACCGAGACAAAACTAAACTGAGTATACTTGATTTCCCATATAAAGCGATGAACCTTGTTGATTTTGGAGTCAGAGGACAAAGGTCAAGGTCATGTTTGACCATACGAGGTAATTACCAGTAAAAATTATTATAAATTGTGATCAGAAGGATAATGGGATATGAAACACTGTAGATCTTTTCCCCTCAATATAGACTTTCATTGTCATGATTTAAAGGTAAAGTTTACTTTAGGTGTGTACGGTAGAAGATTCAGTGTGGTTTGGTATGGAATGCTTTTCTTCTGATAGGCAAACACCAGTATGTTACTCAGTTACATTTATCAATAGAAATCATATTTGTTTTAGGTAGTCTTTGTAAGGATGAATTTGTACATATGCAACATACATTGTGTTTTTGGATAAATTATTTTCACTTCTGTAAGAGATGCTGACAGCTAGCTAGTGAACTAACATTAACTTAATGTCCATTTGGAGGCTTGTACATTTAATGTTGGTACGTGTCTAGTGAGTGTATCACAATAATTGTGTCCCTTGGGTGACTATGGCTTACATATTCTCTATTGAGGTTCAATTCACCCAGAGAAAGGGACTAAAGTTTCTGCTGTTGCTGTCAATCTTCTCGAGATTCAGCGGAGAAAGTCATTATTTAGAACTGTGCACGACGACAAATCATTGAGATAGGAGTTGATACCTTTGTTAAATCTGGTATTGTACAAATCAGGTGATAAAAAGAGGACAGTGTGACAGGTCATTACGTTTCAGATGAATGATGATCCAATTAAAGGCCATATACAGTTAACAGTGCAAATTCACTATGGAATCACCATTCCACTTCATCCTAAATCATTGATGTATTTAGAATAGTGTGTGGTTAAAGAATATGTATCTGTAAATGCTGCTTCATGTATCGTGCTTTTTCAACTCCCTGTCTCTTTTGATAGATAATGAAGATTCCTGATATGTCAGATTCCTTACCAACCCTCCATATTTTGTTGATAAATTCCTTACCAACCCTCCATATTTTGTTGATCAATTCCTTACCAACCCTCCATATTTTGTTGATAAATTCCTGATATGTCAGATTCCTTACAAACCCTCCATATTTTGTTGATAAATTCCTTACCAACCCTCCATATTTTGTTGATCAATTCCTTACCAACCCTCCATATTTTGTTGATAAATTCCTGATATGTCAGATTCCTTACAAACCCTCCATATTTTGTTGATAAATTCCTTACCAACCCTCCATATTTTGTTGATCAATTCCTTACCAACCCTCCATATTTTGTTGATAAATTCCTGATATGTCAGATTCCTTACAAACCCTCCATATTTTGTTGATAAATTCCTTACCAACCCTCCATATTTTGTTGATCAATTCCTTACCAACCCTCCATATTTTGTTGATAAATTCCTGATATGTCAGATTCCTTACAAACCCTCCATATTTTGTTGATAAATTCCTTACCAACCCTCCATATTTTGTTGATCAATTCCTTACCAACCCTCCATATTTTGTTGATAAATTCCTGATATGTCAGATTCCTTACAAACCCTCCATATTTTGTTGATAAATTCCTTACCAACCCTCCATATTTTGTTGATCAATTCCTTACCAACCCTCCATATTTTGTTGATAAATTCCTGATATGTCAGATTCCTTACAAACCCTCCATATTTTGTTGATAAATTCCTTACCAACCCTCCATATTTTGTTGATCAATTCCTTACCAACCCTCCATATTTTGTTGATAAATTCCTGATATGTCAGATTCCTTACCAACCCTCCATATTTTGTTGATAAATTCCTTACCAACCCTCCATATTTTGTTGATAAATTCCTTACCAACCCTCCATATTTTGTTGATAAATTCCTTACCAACCCTCCATATTTTGTTGATAAATTCCTGATATGTCAGATTCCTTACCAACCCATCATATTTTGTTGATAAATTCCTGATATGTCAGATTCCTTACCAACCCTCCATATTTTGTTGATAAATTCCTGATATGTCAGATTCCTTACCAACCCTTCATATTTTGTTGATAAATTCCTGATATGTCAGATTCCTTACCAACCCTCCATATTTTGTTGATCAATTCCTTACCAACCCTCCATATTTTGTTGATCAATTCCTTACCAACCCTCCATATTTTGTTGATCAATTCCTTACCAACCCTTCATATTTTGTTGATAAATTCCTGATATGTCAGATTCCTTACCAACCCTCCATATTTTGTTGATCAATTCCTTACCAACCCTCCATATTTTGTTGATCAATTCCTTACCAACCCTCCATATTTTGTTGATAAATTCCTGATATGTCAGATTCCTTACCAACCCTCCATATTTTGTTGATCAATTCCTTACCAACCCTCCATATTTTGTTGATAAATTCCTGATATGTCAGATTCCTTACCAACCCTCCATATTTTGTTGATAATTTCCTTACCAACCCTCCATATTTTGTTGATCAATTCCTTACCAACCCTCCATATTTTGTTGATAAATTCCTGATATGTCAGATTCCTTACCAACCCTCCATATTTTGTTGATAAATTCCTTACCAACCCTCCATATTTTGTTGATAAATTCCTGATATGTCAGATTCCTTACCAACCCTTCATATTTTGTTGATAAATTCCTGATATGTCAGATTCCTTACCAACCCTCCATATTTTGTTGATAAATTCCTGATATGTCAGATTCCTTACCAACCCTTCATATTTTGTTGATAAATTCCTGATATGTCAGATTCCTTACCAACCCTTCATATTTTGTTGATAAATTCCTGATATGTCAGATTCCTTACCAACCCTTCATATTTTGTTGATAAATTCCTGATATGTCAGATTCCTTACCAACCCTCCATATTTTGTTGATAAATTCCTGATATGTCAGATTCCTTACCAACCCTCCATATTTTGTTGATAAATTCCTTACCAACCCTCCATATTTTGTTGATAAATTCCTGATATGTCAGATTCCTTACCAACCCTCCATATTTTGTTGATCAATTCCTTACCAACCCTCCATATTTTGTTGATAAATTCCTGATATGTCAGATTCCTTACCAACCCTCCATATTTTGTTGTCAAATTCCTTACCAACCCTCCATATTTTGTTGATAAATTCCTGATATGTCAGATTCCTTACCAACCCTCCATATTTTGTTGATCAATTCCTTACCAACCCTCCATATTTTGTTGATAAATTCCTGATATGTCAGATTCCTTACCAACCCTCCATATTTTGTTGATAAATTCCTGATATGTCAGATTCCTTACCAACCCTCCATATTTTGTTGATAAATTCCTGATATGTCAGATTCCTTACCAACCCTCCATATTTTGTTGATAAATTCCTGATATGTCAGATTCCTTACCAACCCTCCATATTTTGTTGTCAAATTCCTTACCAACCCTCCATATTTTGTTGATAAATTCCTTACCAACCCTCCATATTTTGTTGATAAATTCCTTACCAACCCTCCATATTTTGTTGATAAATTCCTTACCAACCCTCCATATTTTGTTGATAAATTCCTTACCAACCCTCCATATTTTGTTGATAAATTCCTGATATGTCAGATTCCTTACCAACCCTCCATATTTTGTTGTCAAATTCCTTACCAACCCTCCATATTTTGTTGATAAATTCCTGATATGTCAGATTCCTTACCAACCCTCCATATTTTGTTGTCAAATTCCTTACCAACCCTCCATATTTTGTTGTCAGATTCCTTACCAACCCTCCATATTTTGTTGATAAATTCCTGATATGTCAGATTCCTTACCAACCCTTCATATTTTGTTGATAAATTCCTGATATGTCAGATTCCTTACCAACCCTCCATATTTTGTTGTCAGATTCCTTACCAACCCTCCATATTTTGTTGATATGTTACTAATATGTCAGATTCTTTACCAACCCTCCATATTTTGTTAATATGTTCCAACATCATCAGTCAACGACTGTATTGAGCGTAATAAAAAAATCACAAAACCGTATTTCTATACTGTAAAATCAGGTTTTTTTGTGG